CCCCTCTCTCCCAACTCTGGCAACCACTATTCTACTTTCTATGAATTTGACTACTCTAGATACCTCATAGGAATTGTACAGTATTTTTCTTTTTATGGCTTGTTTCCCTTAGCATAATGCCCCCCAAGTTTATCCATGTTTTATTGTCAGAATTTCCTTCCTTTTAAAGAATGAATAATATTCCATTATATATTTCATATATGTATGTACACACATATATGCATATATACACCACATTTTGTTTATTCACACTTTGGTTGCTCCTATCTTTTGGCTGTTGTCTTGCTGCTATGAACATGGGTGTACAAATATCTCTTGGAGAACCTGCTTTCAGTTCTTTTGGGTGTATACACAAAAGTGGAATTGCTGAATCATATTTTAAATTTTTTGAGGAACTACCACACTGTTTTCCATAGCAGCTGCCCCATTTCTGTCCAGCAATGTGTAAGGGTTCCATTTTTTGTATATCCTTGTCAACATTTTTCTTATTTTTTTTTAATAATAGCCATCCTGTTATTGGTATCTCAGTGTGGTTTTGATTTTCATTTCCCTGATGAGTAGTAATGTTGAGTATCTTTTCATGTACTTGTTGGTCATGAATTTCTTCTTTGGAGAAATACCTATTTAGGTCCTGTGCCAATTTTTGAATCAGGTTGTTTTTTGTTGTTGTTGAATTGTAGCAGTTTTGTATTTTTGGATATTAACCTCTTATCAGATATATGATTTGCAGACATTTTCTCCCATTCTAGAAGTTGCCTCGTCACTGCCTTTCCCTTTTTCTGCCCAGCAATTTAAACTCTATCCAGGCAAAAATATTTGCAGTGTCAGGATTTATTTTATTCTCTCCTAGATGCTTTCCACATTCACCTGGGGAACCTCTATTTTTCCAAAGGCATCTCAAGCATCTCTTCTGTAAAGCCTTTTCTGATCACCCTCTACTTCCCCAGGCAGAATGGAATTGAGCACTGAACCCTGTGTGTTCTTCTGTCATAGCATCTGAAACATTTTAGTGTTGCCTATTTGTTTACCTGTCAGTTTTGCTTTACTGGATTGACAGTGCTTGTGAGCAGTGTCTGTGTTGTTCGTCTTTTTATCTTTAACTGTAGTCCCTGGTGTATGGTGTATAATTAAATAATAAATGTTTTTTTAAGAGAATGTGTGATGATGAATAATTATTAAGTCAGTCTATTGGATCTCCAGAGTTATACTAGAATAGACTCTAATTTTGGTTTTCTGTGATACCACATGGGCAACTATTTCCAAAATGGTTTCTGGGAGAATGTAGCACTCCTTTGCAAGTTCCTGGTTGGTAGTCCTCATTCTCTCCACACAATTCATAGCCACTTTGTGTCAGATCTTTATTACTGGGTAGACTTTTGATTAGGGCTTATAGTACCATACATATATAACTTTTTAAACTTATGGCAGCTTTATCCCAGAAAGGTTATTTCTGATTTGCAAGTCTTTTGAAAATACTTTAAGGGTATATGTCAGATGGAACTGCTCATGTTATTCCAGATATATTTGCTATTCTTGTTATGAGGGCAAACCAAAGAGCCTGGGAAATAATCCTTTGGTTGGCATTTAAGACCAAACCAGAACAAAAGCTGGTATCTTTCCTCCTTTTCCATTAAGACTAGCTTTTGTTATGAATTCTTATAATAAATGACTTCATTGAAGTCTTGTAGCTTGTGATGTCCCCTGGCGTGAAAATCATGAAAATATTTTACTGTTATAGCAAATTTAACATTTAAGCCATATCCCAAAAAGTCATTAGGAAAAGTTCTGGAAAAAGAACAATCACCATCAAGTGATATGCTACCAAAAGATGGATTGCTACTATTTTAGATGATTTAGTTGTGCCAGTTATGTGGTCTTTTTATGAGTTATGCCCTACATAAATTCCAGTAAAACTTTGATTTTAAATGTAAACAACATTTATTTAAACATTTAATTCACTCCTAATGTAAATACTAAATTGTTCTGTGTTCTTGTAAGTTTTAAGTGCCAGAAATTGTCTACATATAGGCACATTGTACATTGAATTCAATGAAATAATTTTCATCCTACCTCTTAGTGACAGTGTTTCTGTTTTGAGTGATGAAAAAGTAATTAGTTATGAAATGAGACACTGACTATAATAGAATCTTCTCTAAGTGAAACATTTGAACTGTTCTCCTGTTTTTTTTTATGAATACTTAGCACTTATACATGAATTTTTATTACTTACAAATGTTGTCAACTGCAAAGAGAGCAGTGGCTTACATAATTTAATATAGGGGTAGTCCAGAATACATTTGTTCGACTTTTAAATTATTTTAGAATTTGTGTTGGAATATTGGTATCTCTGAAATCAAGGTATGTGCAGCCCTTTTCCAAAGCATAGTGAACCATACTGTAACGTCTTATATTGAAGTAAATTGTAAACTGTCCAGCAGTTTTTTAGGTTACTGTGAGGTTAGGGTTCCTGTTCAGTGTCTTCTCATTTCCTAATCTTCTTCATTGCATTGTGGTGGTAGTAGACTACAGTAATCTCTGAGATGCAGACAGTCTAAAACAAAACTGCCTTTAATTCTTTATACTTGCAACTTTTTTTTTTTTTAAAGTAATTTCTACACCCAGAATGGGGCTGGAACTCATGACCCCAAGATTAAGAGTCACATGCTTTACCGACTGAGCCAGCTAGGCACCCCTGTACTTGCAACTTTAAATTTACTTTTGGTCTGGGGTATAATCATTTGGTTGTTAAAGTTTTCACTTTTTGAAAACCTCCGTTATCCTTTATTGTCACTTGCCAGGCTGATCTGATGGATAGCACCTGCTCTCCTTTATGGACATAAACATTAATGTTTGAAAGTACATTAAAAAGTACAATCTAATGTGATCTACAAGGTAGACATTCGGCCATTAATTAATTCCAAAACACTTTTGTGTTTGTCTGCCATACACCATCTGTTTTGTGGATTGGGGATTCAGAGATAATAATAGATATACACAATCTTTGAGAAGTGTCCATCTTGCAATTTGGTTACGGAGTGGTGGGGAGGGAGACAGGTCAAAAATTACGATGGATTTTGATAAATTCTGTGATCGAGATAAGGAGAGGTTATCTCCTTATCTGAGACATGAGAATGCATGGAAGGGTCATTTAACCCAGAGTTTGAAATGTTGAGAAATGCTTCCAGGAAGAGGTCACATCTCAATTGAATCTTAAAGGATGAGTAGGAATTAGCCAGTTAAGGAGGAAGGGAAGCCTGGAAATAGACTAAGATGATATGATAGGCGACATAGGAGGTGAGCCTTAGAATAAAGGATGGCTGTCATTTATTGAGCACCTACTTTGTGCTGAATGCTGCATTATAAGGCTTAAACCACTTGCCTCATAGTAACCTAAAGGGCAGGTGCTATTATCCTCTGTATACAAATGAGGAAATAGAGTTGCAACTCTCCTGTAGTTATGACAGGGTTATTGAGTGGCAGGGCTAGATTGAAAAATCTAGTTTTTCTTGGGGCATCTGGCTGGCTCAGTTAGATCACACGACTCTTGATCCTGGGGTTGTGAGTTCAAGACCAACATTGGGTGTAGAGCTTACTTAAAAAATAAATAAAAGAAAATGTTAAAAAGAATGTTCAACCTTATAAAAAAAATACAAATAAAAACCCTAGCTTTTCTGGCTTCTTGTCGAGCCTGCTTCCTCCCAGGAAAGAACAGGTTCAAGAAGAAGGAAGTAGTTAAGTAGTTGCCATGCTGTTGAAAGGTCAGTTGTGCAGGTTAAGTTCTGAAAAGTGTCCAGGGGCATTTATAGTGACTTGTTTGTTTATTCAAGAGGTATTTACTGAGAGTCTCTTAAGTGCCAAGAACTGTGCTGGGCATTAGGAATAAAAGGACGTGCCAGAGTGGTAGAGGTAGAAGGGTGAAAGGAAGCAGAGACACTTGAGTGAAAACTTGTGTAAAGAAGCTTGATTGCAAAGGAAAAGATAATGATATAGCAGTAAATATAGCGGAAATTGTGTATGTGTGTGTGTGTCTAATATGGGAAGTACTTTAATTGTTTATGTGCAGAGGAGAAAGAGCCATAGCAGGGGAAGAGTTTATGATGAAATAAAACTAGTGATTGGTTGATTCATCAAGGATGTTAAAGAATGAGGGGAGACAGGGACCAAAGTCTGTTAGATTGCACATACCTAATTAAGTAGATTGCAGGATGAGCCTCACGTAAATTTGTAATGGCCCTAGAATTTTAGTATGATTACCCAGCTCTTGGATAATGGAAACTTGACTAAACAATGAAACTTCATATTCAGATGATCATCTGATTCCTTATGTATGATTTATGCATCCATCTTTTCTCTTCCTCGATTATCCTGGCCATACCTCCTGTCTATCATACCATTTCTCATATTGCATTAGAGTGATTGATCTCCCCCTCCTCGACCACATGCTTCTTGAAAGGGGGAATGGTAGAGGCTATGTCTGATGCTACCCAGCATCTGGAATAATCTCACTTTAATAAATGCTTATTGAACCAATGAATCATTGAATGACTCAGTTCCTTATTTGTGTTATTTTTGAGCAGCAGTGTTTTGAGTTTTAAACTTTCAAGAGTTAAAAGGTATATATCTACCCTGTGCAGATTTTATTTTATTTTGTGTAGTTAAGCACTTTAAGGTATGCCCAATTTTCAGTGAAAAGAGGACTTTAAATATTTGGATGCTGAGAGGGCTTACGGTTCCATACAACCTAAAGAGTTTCTTAGTTTTATCTTTTTTGAGATTTGAAGTACATTTATTATCAGCTCAACAACTGTAGTCTATCTAGAAGTGCAGAGATAAGATACTCTCAGAAATTTTATTTCCTTTTTTTTTAAGCGTTGTGTAAAAAGCTAGTGATGCAATTTTTAAAAATTATATTTCTTGTGAATGTGGCATGTAGTCCTGCCCCCCCCGCCCCGCCCCATATGTTGGATACTCATTGATGTCATGGAATTTTCTTTTTTCAGAATCCTGTCCAAAAGATTCCTGACTCACATGAAATAACTCTAAAGCATGGCACTAAAACAGTAAGTTTAAAAAATTTGATTCTTTCCTCTCAGTAACAAGGCTCTCATGGAAAAGTAAACCAATGATACATTTGTATTAAGGCTAATTGCACAATCAACTGATAACAGAAGCTATAGGCATTAAAGAAAAAGATTACATTTCTATTCAATCAAAATAACCGTTGTGTTTCATTTAAAATAGCAACACTTATTGTTATGGTTGGCTTTAAAACCTTGTTCTTTGATAGAGGAACATTACAAGTGAAAAAAGAAATGAAACTAAAATACAGTTTTCCTTTTTATGGTGTGGGAAAATTTCTCATTACCCTTAGCTTTATTTCTATATCGTAAAAGGCCTGAGTTCGTTTTTTAGATGAACATTGAGATAAGAAATGAATATAAAATAGTTACTGTATTGCTCTAAGATTATTATTGCTTAGACTTACAGATTCTATTTTTGTATTGCTATATTTATGTTAAAGATTAATAATGTAAAATTTTGAGTTATAACATGAAATCATTTTTATTGTAAAGCCATTAAAGTAGTAGTTGAATGAATGAAACCTCATGAATGAAAGAATAAAATTATCTTGCTTTCTCTTTTCAACGAAACTGCCTTTTTCTAGGTGTCTGATATGTAAAGCAGTAGAAAAATACATCCCATAATGAGGAAAACATCAATCAGTAGAAATCAACCCAGAAATGATGCAAATGATAGAATTAATAGAGAAAGATGACATTCTTCTTGCTGAATTTTTTGCTTTTGAAAATACCATTTTCATAAAAATATTTGTTAGAGTATAGTAGGTTTATTGTTGTTTTAAATGAAGTGAACAATAAATATTTTAAAATGGCTTAAAGTTTTACTGTGGTAAATACAGGTACATATAACTCACATAAACAAATGCTTTTTGGGGTCCTCAATAGATTTAAAGAGTATAAAGTGGCTTGAAACTTAAGTATCTGAGAACTGCTGTTTTAAGAAACCATTTCCATCTGATTTGTGATCTTATATCTACTTTTTATTAAATCAGAGTTCTGGTATTTTTCTGAAATTGTGACAGAATTTTACTAATTTTCATGTTTTTAAGTAAATTAGGAAAGGAACTGTAGACAGTTCATACTTAAACAGAAGCTTCCCTATCATTTAGTTCAGAGATTTTTTTTTTTTTAAGATTTTATTTATTTGACAGAGACAGCGAGAGCAGGAACACAAGCAGGGGAGTGGGAGAGGGAGAAGCAGGCCTCCCGCTGAGCAGGGAGCCCGATGCGGGGCTTGATCCCAGGACCCTGGGATCATGACCTGAGCCGAAGGCAGCCGCTTAACTGACTGAGCCACCCAGGCGCTCCAGTTCAGAGATTTTTACGAGTGTTCATGAGTTTTACATGTTTTATTTAAATATTTCTATTTTTTTAAATTTAATTTTATCTTTTAAAGAATTATAATTAAAAACATAGTGCCCCCTTGTTTTGCACATTAAAAAATCAATTAGAGCTTCCTTTTTTTTTTTTTTTAAAAAAAACAAACGTTTATTTAATTATTAGAGCACACATGAGTGGTGGGGGGAAGGGCAGAGGGAGAGGGAGAAACGGACTCCCGCTGAGTGGGAGCCCTTCTGAGTGGGGAGTGCTCCGCAGGGCTCGATCCTAGGATCCCAAGATCATCCTGGGATAATCCTGAGATCATCTGGAGATTATGACCCGAGCTGAAGGCCGACCAATGATTCTTTGGAAGTTGGAAGTTGCTGGCTCCAAACAGCCCTTTCCTTTTCCCCACGGAGGACTCAAGGAAGATACCTACGGCTAGTCATCAGTTCTCCTACCTTGACTGTAGGCCTCTGCCCCTGTTCTCCATGCTGGCAGTTGCAGCGAGGGAGTGGAGCTTACACCCTTGAGGGGAGGACAGGCACAGAATAGACAAACCACAAATGAATTTGCAGTTTCAAATTGTATTGTAATGGGATGAACACTGGTGCAGTTAGTCCTATCAGGAGGAGGACACCTCTTTAATTGTAACAGGAGGGTAGAAGGATAGAGTGGGCATGGACGTACTTTTGTTTGTAGTTGGTAGTAGCAGAAGTCACTTCCTAGACTTCAAAAGCTACTGTTTATTTTTATTATTTCTATTTTTCATTGTTTTAGGTTTTAGGACATATAATTGTTCAGGCATAAAAAATGACTTAGTTCTCCTTTGAATGCTTTCTTTAACACATTTAGAGTAGTACCTATCTAATTTAAACATATAATAAGTCATTAATTATATTTATATATAATTCCCTTATGTTCTGAAATCAGTGTTTGCAGGTAGTGATTGAAATGAGTAAAATTATTTTGTAAATATCTGGTTTTAATTACAGTAATTTTATTACATTAATAACATTTCAAGTCTATTAGGAGAACTGATTTATAGTTGCTTCCTTTATATAAAACTTTGATCTTTTTAGTATTTCAGATATGTATGGTAATATCTGTTAATTATTTCTTTTTTTTTTTTTTTAAAGATTTTATTTATTTATTTGACAGAGAGAATGAGAGAGAGAGCACATGAGAGGGGGGAGGGTCAGAGGGAGAAGCAGACTCCTCGCCGAGCAGGGAGCCCGATGCGGGACTCGATCCAGGGACTCCAGGATCATGACCTGAGCCGAAGGCAGTCGCTTAACCAACTGAGCCACCCAGGCGCCCATGTTAATTATTTCTAATGTATTTTTTTTCCTCCTGAGAGGGCAGTAGATCCAGGGACTTCCTGCTTAAGAATAGTGAGTTACCAGTTGGGCATTCACATGTGCATTGGACCTAGGAAAATTCACAGGGAAGGCAGATATTTTATGGAAACAATATAAAAGTGGTATTATAATGTAGTTAGTCACTTATAAATTCAGCTTTAAAAATAACTGTTTAAGGTGATTATGTTGAGTCATTTAGCCATATACACAAGAAAATAATTTCTACTTTGTCCTACTTCATTAAATAGATTTCTTAACATTCCCTTTGGCATTTTCTCATTTTGGTAATTTTAGATTCATGTGGTCTTCTTCTGTTAGTGGTAGTTAAAATATCAAAAGGTTTTCTCAAAATTGTTTATTGAAAAAGCTGAATTATTTATGAGGTTTGGTAGGTAAGTTGGGACTAAGCTGGCAAATACATTAATTACATTAAAATATTTTTTCTTCATTTCAAAAGAAATAACAGTCATAATAACAAGGTCAAATAATAGAGAAGATGCTATCCAGTCACACTTTTTAGAAGTAATAACAGCTGGTGGGCTGTACTTCCAGTGCCTATAATATAGGAGATCAGGTTAGAGAAAGGAAATGGAGGTTATTGTAGACTGTAAGTAGTTTTCTCCAGTTAAATTTTTTTTTTTTTTTTTTTTTTAAACCAGGTTTCTGCTTTGGGTCTGGATCCCTCAGGTGCCCGTTTGGTGACTGGAGGATATGACTATGATGTTAAGTTTTGGGATTTTGCTGGAATGGATGCTTCTTTTAAGGCATTTCGATCCCTTCAGCCCTGTGAATGGTATGTATTGCACAACTTAATACCTTCATATTTGAAGATAGAGCTGTTATCATTTGAATTCCGTCTATAATGCTTTGTACCAAAATACACTAAGTTTATATGACCATATGTTACCTTCATTATTTGAATGAAAGAAAAATGTACCTTAGATTTCTTTCCTTCACTTTCATTAACCTAAATTTTAAAGATGTTTTCAGTCTTTTGTTGTTTTGTAAAAAAATATTTGTATTTAGAGATTATTACCTTGCCTAGTTTATTTCAATACTCTAGTAAATACTGTGTAGTGTTATGTATATGTGTATGATATATGCTAAGCCAATAACCAGGTGCTAGCCAGCGCTGCACTGTGCAGGTGTGGTCAGCTAGCATTATATCAGAAAGGGCTTTACATGTTGCAACCACAGGCCACCTTCTTATTTCTGTTTTTGACCATATCTTTTTATCTTTATCTTTTAGGTATCTTTTAGATATTAGATATCAAAAATAGATTTTTATTGGTGAAACTGATATCTTGTTAACTTGCATAATGTATGTTGGAAATGAGGTCTTACTAACTAGATATTCAAGATAGGTGAATTAGCTGAACTTTACTTAGACCCAATTTTCTACTCTTGCATGAGTAGGGCTTAAGAATCTAGTTTGCCTTTAACTTGAACTCTTGGGGATGATGGTTTTTGCTAGACCTAGTATCTACCTGTAAACTCTGGATTCTTTCAACTATATGGATAAAGTTCCTATTTCTGGGCTATTGAGTGTTTGCTTTCAGTGAACCTTTCATGAAAGTGGTGGTTGGAGTAACTGAAAGGCTAGAGAGCTGGGATTTTTCTTAATCTTGCGGAGCAAGTCATATGAATTGTTTTTGCTTACTTGCTAATAAATGCTTAGATAATAAATGTCTATATATGGCTCAGAATTGGGTCTGAGACTTCAGATTTCTCTGGCAGCTACAGTTATCTAGCAAAATAACCTAAAAGTTATATCTAAACATGGCTCTGGTCAGTTTTGTACAAATCATACTGACTTGTAAATTTTGAAGTCCTAACTCTTAAACTATCTTTAGTAGAGATCAGAGAATTCCTTAAATGAACATAGCAGATCTCTGATCAATTGGAAAGGAAAAAAAAATTTATAAACAGGGTATCTCCAATGATGGCTGTATTTAATAAAGCTCTTATTTAAAATAGTAACTTGGTATCTTGAGTTAGTATGATGACTTTTAAAAAATGTATTTAAAATATGAGATAATATCTTTTATTCCCGTTTGATAGTCTCTTGATTAAGGATTGTGTTCCCCTTCTACTTTTACAACTGTAAACTCACTTGTTCAGGATTATTCAGTACTCTATTAATGATCAGCTCCGAATAGAATCATGTCTCATGAGTCTCAAGCCAGTGCTCTATTACTAAACTGTGTCATTTGCTATGCTGTTGTAATTGAAAATGCAGAAAAACCCAAGAATAAGCTTATTTTCTCTTCCATAATTAAATTGTTGCATCCTATATATAATAGTGAGCTATCAAAGGGTAGATGGGAATAAAGAGAATTCTTGACAATCTGTACAAGATTAATATAAATTCTAGTACTGCAAACAGATGGTGAATGTTACTATTTTAAATCATGAGAACTGTTTAACTTTGCTGTCATTTGCCCCTAATGTCCAAGTAATGTGACTCTATTTTTTATGACAATACATATTTTTTTACTTAATGTATTTTTTATCTATTTATACATCCATCTGTAATTCATTTTTTACTGTGAAAAATTTCAAACACAGAGAAAAGTGAAGGGATTACTATAATAGCTGTTTATCCTTTACCTAGATTTAACAGTTACATTTTTCTGTATTTGCTTCATCTCAATTTTGTAACTTTTGAAGTATTTAAAAGTAAAGACATACATAACTTTCAGTTTGAAATAATTCAGCATGAATCTTTCAAAAATATAGACATTTCCCTATATAAATATAGCTCCAATTACCCTAACAAAATAATTTAGAATTTCTTAATATTTCTAATAATCATTCCATATTTAAATTTCCCCAGTTTGCTCTCAGAATGTGTTTTAATGTTGGTTTGTCAAACATGGATCCAACCAAGTAATACATATCACATTTATTGTGTACCTCTCTTACATATCTTTTAATCTAGAAGAGGGTCTCCTTCCAAACCATTTTCTTTCCCATGACTTTATTAAACAGGTCAGTTGTGCTTCACAAGGTTTTTCCTCCCTGAATTTTTTAATTGCTTCTTTATGGTATCATTTAGCTTATTTCTTTGTCTCCAGTATTTCTTATAGAAGATTCAAAGCCTTGATGATCATCTCTAGTGTATCACATCACATGGCATGTATTTATTGTCTAGTTGTTGCTGACAATGCAACTTGTTGAGACTCACAATTAAGATTGATCCCTGGATTAAATTGGTGACATCTCATTCTTCCATTGTAAAGTTAATATTATATACTTGAGATAGGCAAGAACTTTGTGGGGAGATAGTTGATAGCATGGAAATATCTAGATTCTCATTACTTCACTTAATAAGTTTAGCATCCATTGATTATTCATACCTGAATCAGTTCTCTCATTGAGCGTTGTTAAGTTGGTGCTTTTCTTGGTTTTCTAAATTCCATTATTTCATCTACATTTATTTGTTGACGTTCTTCTAATAGAACTTTTCCATTTTAACTGATATTATTTGGCTACCCTAAAATACAGTTCTACTGTGAAGGCAGGATAAATACTTGGTTATTTCTTTAACTCCCCATTTTTATTTCAGGGGTAGGTGGTGATAAATGAGTTGTTGCTGTTATTGGTGGTGGTGTTTTTTTCTTTTTCCTTTTTGAGTGGCAGGATTTATGACTTTAAAATTTTCATGTGTTCCAGTCAGTTGTAGTCATTATTCTTTTTGATGTTTAAATTGTCCCAGATTTGGTCAGGGGAGTCCCTGATTGCTATGTAGTTTTTACATGTACTCATTAGACTTTAAAAGCTTACTTATTTTCTGGCATAACATGATGTAAGCTTCCTAGTATATTCCTTTCCAGGTCCTAGAATCAGCATTTCCCCATGGAGATCATTTTTTTTTTTTTTTAAGTGGGAATGGTATTTAGAGACCAAATCTGAATGTTATACCTGCTCATTAATAGTGGGATATCATTCCTTCTTGACCTTTTCAGTGGAAAGAGGTAGAAAATACAGGGGTGTGTGTGTGTGTATTTAAGTGACAAGATCATATTGATATATCCATTTCAAATTTTAGTAAACTTTAACTTCAGAATATTTTTTAATTTACAGAAAAGCTGCAAATATCATCCAGAGTTCAGGCATACCCCTAACTCAGTTTCCTCTGTTGTTTATATCTTACATTACCACGGTACATTTATGGAAGTAAACCAACATTGGTACATTACTATGAATCAAACTCCAAACTGTTTTTGCATTTCACTGTTTTTTCCACTAATATGCCTTCGAAGATACGCCTTACATTTAGTCTTCATTTCTCTGTTTAGTCTTCTCTGGTTGATTATGCCTTCTCAGTCTTTCCTTGTTTTTCCTGACCTTGACAGTCTTGAGGGGTCCTGGTCAGGTATTTTGTAGAATGTTTCTTGATTTGTTTTTTTATGATGTTTTTCCTGGTTAGACTGGGACTCTGGGTCTTGGGGATGAATATCACAGAGGTGAAGTGCCCTTCTTATCACATAGTGGGGGTACATGCTATCATGTTTTTAAGGTTTCTCCACTGTAAAGTTACTTTTTCCTCCCCTTTCCATATGCTGTTCTTTGGAAGTAAGTCAGTAAATGCTGCTTACATTTGGGAAAATGGAAAAATTAAGCTCCACCTCCTGGAGGGGTAGTGTTTACATAAACTACTTAGAATTCTTCTTTTAGGAAGAATTGTCTCTTCTCCTATTTATTTATTTATTTATTTGTTTGTTTGTTTATTTATTTAACCAGTTATTTCTACCAGTATTGACTACTTGATATTTGTTTTATATCTTGGTTGTAAGCCAATACAATGTTATTTATTATGTTGCTAAGATTATTTCAGCTGTAGTCATTAGGAGCTCTTGCAATTTGGCTCTTGTGATCCTTTCTTTGATATGCCTCCTTTTTTTTTTTTGAGTACTTTTTACTTTTTGGTACTATTAGATGCTCCAGACTCATCTTGTATTGTCCCTGCCCCAGTCCTAGAATCAGTCATATTTGTTAGGACAATGGTATCTAAAAACAGGATCTAGGTTCTTGGTGTGCTTGTTGTTCTTCTAGGCCTTCTCAGCTGACAGAGCTGGGAATTGAATGCATGTATACTCACCTGTGTATGTGCTAGATCTATACAATTGTTTCTTTATCCATTTGCATCCATGTTAAGGTAAGCAGGGGTTCATACCCATGTCTCTGACTCTAATCTAGAATACACTGGTTCACTCTAGCCTTCCTCCTCCTTGGAAACCTTCACTTTCTAACAGTGAGAACTCTGGCTCCCTCCAACCATTATTTCTGTGTTTGTTTAACCCAAGTATATGTGTGAAACAGTCACAGAATGGTTAAGCTGTATCCTTGCTCCATTTTTTAAAAGATTTTATTTATTTATTTGACAGAGAGAGAGAGAGCACAAGCCAGGGGAGTGGCAGGCAGAGGGAGAGGGAGAAGCAGACTCTCCGCTGAGCAGGGAACCTGATGCTGGGCTTGGTCCCACGATCCCAGGATCATGACCTGAGCCGAAGGCAGACACCTAACTGACTGAGCCACCCAGGCGCCCTCCATTTTTTTTTTTTTTTAAGGAAAAGTCTCTTTGAAATTTTTAAATTAAAATTTCACACTGAGAAATTATTGATGAGATTATTGGTAAGATGATTGATTTAGGAACTAAATCCAAAGGCAAGCTCTCCACTCTGTCATCCACTCAGGTAGGACACACAGTGGGAGAGGCAGGGTGGCTGTGGAGAATCAGGATCCTACTAGGCAGAGCTTGAGCCTTTGACCCAAGCCAGCTCTTTAGTT